AGTGAGTCAGTGAATGAGAGTGAGTGAGTGAATGAGTGAGTGAGTGAGAGTGAGTGAGAGTGAGTGAGAGAGAGTGAGTGAGAGAGTGAGTGAGTGAGTCTACTTCATTCTTTTAAAACAATCTTAATTTAAGCTTTATTTTAGAAACAGAAGGAATTGGTTGGTCTAACAGGTTGAAAAGAAAGGATAAAGAAAGGAAACTCTCTTTTCCTGTATGAAACTTGCACTCCTAGAGTAGCTAAGGCAAGTGAAAGAAGTGACGAAGTAAAATAACAGAACAATCTGAAGGGCAGCTGAGTAGAACAAAGTAATGTACAATGAAACGTGCAGAGACCTGGGGTAGGAACCCTAAAAGGAAGAACATGCTTAGGATTTCTTAAACTGAAGGAATGCCAGAAAAAATTCTAGCCTCGATTTGCAATTTTGAGAAATTCTATCGGAAAATATTGAATGATGCAGGAACCATCCAAAGAAGATGGAAAAGACTCCACAGCGTCTCTGTACTAAAAAAGAGCCAGTTGACATTTAACCATTTCAAGAGGTAGCATGTGAGCAAGAGCCAGTGGCACTGAAGGAAGAAGGCTAAGCTGCGCCCAAAACAAAGCTCCAGGAATGGATGGAATACCAGTTGAAATGCTTGCAGCAAGCTGATGAAGCACTAGAAGGACTCACTTGTCTATGCCAACAAATTCGGAAATCAGCTACCTAGTGAACTGACTGGAAGAGTCGGTTGTACCCATCCCAAAGAAAAGTGACCCAGAAGAATGCACACATTACATAGCAATATCATGGAAATAACAGGCAAGTGAAATTGTGCTGAAGATCATCCAACAGCGGTTGCAGCAGCACATTGACAGGGAGCTGCCAGAAATTCAGTTAGGAATCAAAAGAGGATGTGGAACAAAGGATATCATTGCTAATGTCAGATGGATCTTGGCTCCAAGCAGAGCCATCACGTCTAGTTCAAAACCAGAAACATGTTGCCTGTCCTTAATTGACTGTGCCAAGGCATTCGACTGTAGATAACCAACTGCACAGGATTGAGAAGAGTGGGAATTCCAGAACAGAAGTTAATTCGGCTCATGTGGAACCTGTACGTGGATCAAGAGGCAGTTGTGCAATTAGAACCAGAGAATATTGCGTCGTTTAGAATCAAGGGTATGCTCCAGAGTTGAATCCTGTGGCCATATTTATTCAATCTGTATGTTGAGCAAATATAACAGGAAAAGCCGGATTATGGTATATGAAAAAGAATGCAGGATCAGAAGAAGGCTTATTAACAACTTGCAGTATGCAAATGACACGGCCTTGCTTGTTGGAAGTGAGGAGAACTTGAAGCATTTGCTCATGAAAATCAAAGATTGCAGCCCTCAGTATGGATTAGAACTCAGTGTAAGAATCCTCACAACTGGGCCAATAGGTAACATCATGATAAATGGAGAAAAAAGTGAAGTTGCAAGGATTTTGTCTCCTTTTTTTTTT